TCCCAGTGCGTTGTGATTGGCGAACAGCTTAGATGGTGTTTCAGTACTGCCCCACCCCTTGCCAAAGCAGCAAGTTCTGTCTGCTCCGGTTTAGTTAAGGATGGCGTCAATATTGCCATATCAATCTGAGCCGGATTCAGACCCAGAGAATATTGAACAGGAGGATCGCGCAGAACCGTTGCACGCACAAATATTGCAAGACATATTAAAGTGGTAACGTTATTGTTGTTTTTTTGGCTAAATCACATTTTAGATAGGATATCAACAACCGCTTAAAAATAACTGCATTTACTATGTACAGATAAGTGCATATGTATTATTTTTATTGTTATTTAATTCTAACATTATAACATGAATTGCAGTGAAACTGTTATACAGTTGAATTTATTTGTACCGTAGTCCAGTGTTTCCCAGGCGGGCAGCATATATATGCAAACTCCTTCTCTGGAAGCAGGAGGCGCTGGTTGAGTGGTAGAGATCAAGGCTTCCCCGATAACAGCTGTACACAAAGCAGCGCTCCGCTCACAAAAACACTGCTTTATCAGACATTACATGCAAGATTAACTGAAAATGACATCCAATATTCTGAAGACAGTCGGTTTCCTTCAGAAATACAGTGATATAAAAACACCCGCGCTCAATGTATGGGAAACACTGTAGTCTCATAATTGAAGTGTAAATTCTGCAGATTACATCACTGTACAGTATTGTACTGTCAGCAATTTATTATAAAAAAGTTTTCACAATTGTTACATACATAATTATTCAGGTGCATGTGTAATAACTTGTGAAAACTTCAGGCTACAGTAGCATTTCTTCTTCGTCGTCTCGTCTGATGCACTCAACCAAGCGTTCTAACCACGAGCTCGCCCCTCCCCAACCCCCAACCATTCGGATTTCCGTAGGCCGGTATTATTTGAATGATATTCTAATGGGCCGCTTTATATCACATCACAAAACCCGGAAAACAAACGCTGTAGTCCAAACGAGCCGTTCGTTGTAGTTCTTGAAAAGGGATTTTTAAAAAAATGAAATATCTCCCTTTGGAGTGGACTTTGAGATTTGTAAGTTTGAAGATCTTTTTTATGCTCAAACATACACGCTACACACTGACTAAAATTCAAAAAGGGAAAAAGCATAATTGGACCCCTTTAAAGGCACAGACATTTGTAGGGCTCTATGATTTCTAACATGGACCGAATCGCAGAATTTAGTCATAAAAATGAAATGTATTTAATAAAAAAAAAACTACCATCATATACACACACACAGGAACATGAGAAAAGGTCTTTACGGCAACCTGTCAAAATAAACGTTTGAGTCAACTTGAAGAAATTGTGAATACAGAATAATAGCATAACGTAAAACATAACATTGTTAAAGTTTCATTGATCTCAAATGATTAGACATGTTTTTGATTATTAAAATTTAATTAACACATTAAAATGGAATCCATAGTAAAAAAAAAAAAAAAAAAGGAAACACAGAATTTGAGAAAATACAACAGATTTTGGGGAACAAAATTAAGTTGTTGTTAAACTGTATAAAGTTTCATGATTTCAATTACTGTATGGACCCGAATATAAGATCGAGAGTAAAAACAAAAGAAGCAGAAAAGCTTACAGCTGCATGAGTCGTGACTGTCACGTTAGCCTGATGGGACCAAACTCTCTTTGTGATTTTAAAACGTAAGACAGTACCCAGATTTGAAGACTACAGTAAGATTTAACTTCTACTGTTAATAAGATTTTGGTAGGCTACTATTAGATGGATAGCCTAAATCTCCTAATTCAGATGGGCTACCTGTTTTTTTGTTTTTAAATGGTATATCAAAAAGTGTATATTTTTTAAATGTGATTGTTGGTACAGTTTACCAGTTTTTACCATACTTTCAAAACAAAAATTAAAATAGGAAAAACATGCAATATGAAAATAATTGAAGACAAAATGTGTTTTACTGAGAAAAAACAAGATTTGGTTTTTAAAAAGCCTTTTTCCAAAAAGTACATCTGGAAAAAGAGGGGTCGTCTTATATTCGGGCCAATACGGTAATTAGACATGCTTTTTGACTACTAAATGTAATTTGAACAATATAATAGAACCCATTATAATAATAATAATTATAATATTTAAAACTGAAAAAACAGAACTTAGAAAAAAAAATGAATTTGGTAAAAAATTAAACATTTTATAGAGTCCTACAGCTGAAGCGAAATCCTTTTTCGTTACTGTGTTGGTATGTATGTACAGAGGGACTGTGCACTTGCAATGCATTGGCCAAACATTCGTGTCTTCATTTACATACTGCACTCTGACCCAGGAGATCAAACACCTGTTTCTCTCGTTCCCTCTCTGGCTCCAGCTGACCAAACACATCAGACATTCCTCCATCTGCTCATCGGACCCGTCAGCCCACCTCACTCGCACGCTCCCCGCATTCCTCTCCAGCGGGCAACCGCTCTCTCCTGCACAACTATGCGCTGTGCATTCTCACTATCTTTAGTCTCGTAATCCGTGTAAACATGTGGAGGTACACACGTACACGTTTACTGCGCTCATAACAAGACTCTGGACACACACAGAGAACTAAAGAGCCGTTGCGGAGAGCGACGCTGTGGGTCAGAGGCAGTCATGCAGAGGAGAAGCTCAGGAATGCTCATTTTCCTTCAAATAGTTGCCAGTCCCAGGGGCCAGAGCGGAGCTAAATAAAGAGTGAGGCAACAAGACTGGATGAATGCATGGAATGAAGGTTTATCTGAACTTCACCGCAGTGCATGGGCTCTGTTTAGTTTAGTTCAGTCAGACCCAGTGCTGTTTCCTGTCAGCCTATATGCTCTGAACACACACATATATGCCCGAAGCACAAGCTAAATCATTTACAAAACACAGACAAACTGAGATGAAGTCTGACATCCAACACAGACCAGACCTACAGCTTCAAATTTGACCGTCAAACATAAATCTGTGCACACACATATTAGCAACAAACAGGGACAAACGATTCCATTATAACAGCTGCAACAAAAAGTATAAATACAAATATAAATCAGTTACTTTAAATTGTAATAATATTTCACAATATTACTGTTTTACTGTATTTTTGATCAAATAAATGCAGCCCTGGTGAGCAGAAGAGACTTCTTTTAAAAGCATTAAAAAAATCTTTTTTTTTTTTTCATGACACCGTGAACAGCACAAACCACATTGAATCTTATCTTTACGATTCTGATTTGGGCCACTTCCATATGTGGTCCTAAATCCGATTCAGGTCAGATGATTTGCAATGCGACCGCAATCTGAACGGTCATATCGGAATTCATGCGACATTTACATCACACAAGATGGACATTCGTCATAATTCTGCACTGACAGGAGTCACTCCAAAGATTTTATATGCTGGTATGATCACTCAGTGAATATGACAGACAGTTGTGGATGTAGTCAGTGGAGAGACGCAGAGGTGTTGAACTTATAACTATAGCAGTGACAAGCTAAATTTATGGGGTCCTATCGTAAATATTTAAAAACTTTGCTCTGTGTCCTCTTATCTTTGCTCACGAATTAGCTGACTTCGGCGGCACATCAGCTTATAAATGAATGTGTAAACGATTACTTCAGCAGCCCCCGTGTTTACTTTCGTATGACAGCGAGCTTATATCTTGAGTGAGTTTGTATGACACACACACTTACTGCAAGCGCTGCAGGTGAAGCAGCTGTCATGGTACAGGCTGCCCATGGCCTGACACGCCTGACTCGCTCCATACACAGCCTTGTTGCACTTCACACAGCTGCCTGCAAAAGAGCAAAAAAACAAACCAGGTCACACTTTCAATTTCATTCTATATGGGTAAGAATAACTTAATGAAAGAGTGTGTAAGAGGGAAGGCAATGCTGAAGAGGCGTCTGAGCGTCAGTGCAGAGGTCAGCTGTGTTGTGACACTAACCACAATAATGTTTGTTCTGACTGGACAGTCAGTGTGAAGCATTGGATATTGATATTGGAGATATTGGGAGTTATGTAATTACAAATAGAGGTATTGGAATTACGTTAAACTAAAATTTTATTATTTCTTATCTAGACCACAGCTCTGCACATTTGATTAATTCTTTCAAACAAGCTTCATGAGGCGCATCCCGGGATCAGGGTTACCAAGTCTGCGAAACAAAACTAGCCCAATGGCCAATCAAAAATAATCCAAGACTAGCCAAATCCCAAATGCCACTCTCATACCTAAAATACATATTTACGGCCACTGATAATTTAACTTAATTGTAATAATGCAATTGATATTAAAATCATACAAAGTTGTAAGTACATTAGATTTAAAAAAATGTTAACTACTTGACAAGTCAGTAATTTGTCTAGCTTGGTTCCCTTTATTTTTATTTTTTAACTTCTCAACTAGAAAACTGGTGCAACTCCTAGTTAAAGCATGATAAACCACAGTGAAATACACGGAGTAGCATTTACTTTCAAACTATTCCCACTCAAAAATGATTAGTATATTTCACAAATAAATATAATGAAACGTCAATCAACAAAATGAATTAAACATGAAATTTTAAAGGCTGAAATTTTCTTGTAAAATTTATTTCAACAATCTTGCATTATTTGCAACTTCGAAAAATGTTTTACAAAAAAGTTTGTAGTATGTTTAAAGGGGTCATATGACGTTGTTAAAAAGAACATTATTTTGTGTATTTGGTGTAATGCAAAAAAATATTTTTACAAAGCTCATCGGTCTGAAAAGCACAGTGTGCTCTGATTGGCCAGCTATCCGGTGCATTGTGATTGACTGAATACCTCAAGCATGCGACATATTTGGAAGAACACAGCGTCTCCACGGCAGCGGCGGCAACAATACTACAGTGAGAATAAAAGTTATGCCTCCTTTCTTTATGCAATTCGTCTAGCACAGTGACGTAGATTTGTGGGGGCATGTTTGAATGAGGCGTTTTAGGAAGGAATATCTTTTAGAAAGAATATCTCTTTGGGTTAGAGACTTTAATCTTTGTGACTTTACAGATCTTATACAGTGGGGCAAAAAAGTATTTAGTCAGCCACCAATTATGTATACAGATCTTACATAGATACATACACACACACACACACACACACAAACGGTATGGTATGGTATGGTAAACAAGCAGACCCTATGACCTTAAGAGAACATTACATTAAGATGAGCTTAAGATAACTGCACAGCTGAAGTGAAATCACAAGACTGTCTGTTAGGAAGGTGAGCTGAGAGCACAAGAGGCTCTTTGTCCATCTCTGTTGGTTCAGGCTGGTCTACGTGGCATACGCAAGGGAGCTGAGATAACAGCATTAAACAGACAGAGGTCTGCTCTTAGCCAGTGCTGGCCCCACACAAAAGAGCCTCTGTTTCATCTGGTATTCAGCAAACATCATGCTAACAAGTTCTGCCCACTCAGCAAAGCCTGATCCAAACGCGCCAAGCACAGTCAGGCTTTCTACACAAACACAATCAGACCCACATCTGCTTTACAAAAAGTGTTTGAAGCGATTCATTTAAACACCATGTTGTAGCACTTTTAAACTGAGTCTGGATTCAAAACAATTTAACATTTAAAAATATTTTTGTATGTAAGAATTAATTAGGGTCAGAATTAGGCCTAGGCATCGATATTTATCGACGGTACACCTTCTTCGATTATGATAGAAAAAGTTTTCGATATAGCGCACGATATAGGCACGTGCTATGAGTGATGCAGACAGCACACACAAACACATGCTGAATTGAGTGCTGTGCCTGCCTGTGATGAGGAGATTGTGAATAAAGAATGAATATTAGTCGAATTTAAAATAAACTTTTGCATTTGAATGTTAGGTGTGCGTAAGGGAGCGTCATCAGTGGTGTACGAGATGCGGTGGTGATGATGATGATGTAAGTGACGTTGTAGTTTAATGTTTTGTTAGTCTAGTCCACGAGACGTGCCACTGCCGCGGTATTCATTCAAAATATTCGAGAAATATAGAAGCTCAATGCGGGGAAGATCTTGATTAGGTTAAACCCGAAGCCAAGCCATTCACACAAAACGCATATTCAGCGCATTTTTAGACAGACAAATATGACTGCTGCACTCGCGTTTCACACAAGAGATGTATAGAAAGCCATGCAAAGTTAAAACAGTTTAAACTTTTAGAAAGCACGTCACGAATTTGTGGAGGTTTATTCCTTTTCACTGCATCTCATATGTTTTTTAATGCAATCTGAGCGAATGACGCTTCGGCTCTTTGGATTATGCAATGCATAAATACATGATGCTGTTTTGTTCATAATGGTTTATGCAATTTACGAAATTATATTTGATTTTTAATTAGAGTTAATTTAGACAATGCACATGTTTTTATAGACAGTTTCCTTGCGTTGACAATTTAAATGCGCTGCTTTATTTTGCTCAAAAATAATAATAAATAATAATAATAAAGACAAAAGTTTCCTTAAAACCTATTTAATCAGCATATTAAACATTAGAAATTAGACATTTTTTATTTTTATTTTGTGTTTGATTGTTAAAACAAAAATATTTGTTGTTTGTCTCAATAAATTGAGTAATTTAAAAATACAGTGGTTAAAAAAAAAAAATTCTATTGCTCTTTGTTTATAAATCTAAATAATGTAGATTTACGTTGTGGTTATGCTCTAAGATGGCGTAAGCAACATTTTCAAATAAATAAAGTGCATTTCCGATTACATTCGGCACTAGGCACTGAAGTAAATCATACTCGGGAGCACTATTCACAGCAGAAAATAGGTTGTGTTTACTCAGCATTAGAATACAGATGTAAGTCCCACAGTTGTGTTTATACAGCATTTAGTTTTTTACAAGCATGAAAACTGCAGAACAGAACAGAACAGATATCTTAAAATTTTCAGGAGTGAGGACTCACAACCAGGTGTGCGTTTCCCAAAAGCAACTAAGTTCACAAGTTCCGTCGTTACCAATAGAGTTCAATGGAACTTACCACCATAGTTAATGAACAATGCTTTTGGGAAACGCACCACAGGGTTATTATAGTTAACTAAAACTAAACCTATATTAAAAAAAAATTGTTACTTTAAATAAAAATACATTTTAACTTAAATAACATTAAAAAAACTTTAGTTTAACTCAATGTACTGACAAAACAACAAAAAAATACATTAAATAAAAATGATACAGACGTATTTAAAGAAACATAAGTAATAAAAATGTCAAACACACAACAAAATTACTAAAACTTAAAAGGGGTCCTATTATGCTTTTTCACTTTTTCAAGTGTAGTTAGTCTGTAATGTTGCTGTTTGAGTAAAAAAAAGATCTGCAAAGTTACAAAGCTCAAAGTCCACTTCAAAAGGAGATATTTTATTTAACAGAAATCACTTCAAAAACTACAACGAACGACTCATTTGGACTACAACGCATATTTTCCGGGATTTGTGATATCACAAATATCGACGAATGGGACGAGACCTGGTTGAGCTGCACTAGAAATGGCAACGAGTGTTATCACTATGTCAGAGACACGCTAGCTTTCACAAAGCAGATGAACTTAGAGCGGTTACCATCATCCGGAGGTGCTGTAATGATGTAAAATATGTGAAAAATAATGTGTTTTTCAAACAACCTAGTATGAGAAAACGAAAAAAAAGGAAAATACAAAAAATTAATTAATTAAAAATTAATTTAAAAAAACAACACTATAATAACATAGCCACATTTAACCCAAATCTACACTGTTTGAATAAAACGTAGAAAGATAAATGCCAGAAGTTATGGTTATTGGTAAGTTAACCAAAGGATTATTCAGGGCAAATCAGAAAATAATCTATCAGGGGGGAAATGTTAGATTAATAGACTAACTAGAGAAAATTAATCAATAGATTAATCAATTAAAAAAAGGTTAGTTGCAGCCTTAGAATTGATAGAAGCTTATTTGACTAAATATGAGCCGCTGCAGATTTTCCAAACGGTTACCGACAGATCAAAATGATTTTCTGTGGTAATCGAGCATGTTCCAGATGCTGTCAATAGCGGTGAACTGAAACAAATCATGGACAAATCACGTGGGAGTGAATTTCTAACAAGCATCCCTCTCTGTTAAATTAACACATTATCACAGATGACACATGCAGGGAAATGTGCTCACATTCACACTGGACTGTTTCAAACTTATCTCAGATAACATACATCTTGCACACAGATCTACATCGACTCAAAATAACCATTACCAGTAAATGTAGCCCCTTGAGAGCTGGCATGACCAGTCAGTAGATTCTCATCAGCACCAGTGCTACTTATTTACAGCATCTAAAATAAAAGACTAAATCTGTTTTTGCTATTTATCAGCCCACGTGTGCTTATTAATACATTCATGTGAGTACAGCCAGGGCACTAAATTTACACCTACCAAATGCCAGACAAGTACAAATTAGCTTTGGCAAATAGGTAAAACACTTTCTTGCCACCTGTCCCGTACTTTATCAGAAACAGACACATAATGCATAGTTAAACTGAACTGGTTGCGGCACACCAACTGTCACAACTATGCAAGGAGAAAACAGAAATAATAATCCTGTGATAGAGGGGAAAAACAAATTATGCAAAATACAGTTATATTATTAGTACATTTATTAAATGAATAAATAACTCCATATTTAGTTTAATAATCGGAAAAGAATATCCTGACCATTTAATTAATGCGCAATGATTTAAATGGTTTCTGTCTTGCATTTCAGCTCTCTAAATGATTGATGTCATTTCTAAAATGTGGAAATTAGCAGAAATAAGTTGAACATTTGGCCTCTTGTTTGACTTGTAAAATTATTGTGCAAGCCCAAATTTATATAAATGTATAGAAATATTTTACATTTGATTGCATACTATAATAACGGCCCATTTTAAAAGAACAAAACGTGATTTATTCCTTCTCCATTCACTGTAGTGAAGCAGTATTGTAATATTATTTTTGTAAACAATTTCCAGCATTTCACTAATAAAAGTGTCCGCATTTAACATGCATTCACATTAACGCAAAGTGCAACAGGGAAGGGACTGATCCCTTCTTGTAAGCTCAGAGATGTGCATTCATACAGCAATTAAATTATCATATGGATTTGGCCTCGGTCAAAAATGTCCAAATAGGGCTTAAGAAATTATAGCAGGTACATTTTCCCAGTTCACCCGCCATTGAGATGTAGGCCAAACGGTTAATTCTGGACCCAGCGTACAGCCATTCAAGAGAGCAGGACATGAACTCGAGAGCTAAGGGACAGGAAGCCAAGAATCCTAGACGACAATTAAGATAAAGCCATCTAGTCAACAGGCAGATTAAGGAATCCATCATCAAAAGAGCGCAGGGCACAAAGCATGAATGTCTGCTGTTGGTATGTCTGTGTGCACAAGGCGGGACTCCCTCCCTCCCTCCAACCCAGACTCACATCTCACCCACTTTCTCTTCCAAAATAAAACACAGCAGCAGGGAGAGGCCAAGCATAACCGACTCCAGACAGGGGGGACGCCAACCATTTGGATGTCAGCAGAGGCAAAACCGCCATTAGGCTTCACTAAAGAATCTTGTAATTTATTATCGTCTCTTTGTCCTCGTTTAGCTACTTTGTAAAATGCAGACATTCCTTAACATCCCGGCGGTGCAGCAGCTGTCAGACTGAGACTATAAACACCAGCATGGCTTACTCTGCCATTTACTGCCAACTCAGCATCCAGAACGCATCAACAGGACACAGGTGGATGTCGAAACATCCTTCAGTGCCTAAACTTGGTCTTCCCTGATGAATGTAAACAGACTAGTTTGGTCATCAATGAGCTTTTCAATAGCACATAAATTAGGGGTAATCCACAGCTAGTTATGTACTGCACAATTTTAATGCACGACATGGTGGTAAATAACCACCAGACGTGCAGCAGTCTAGTATAAAGTCAAAAATTATATTATTTAGGGATTATTTTTTAATCACGCTGTATTATTAATATGGATTTGATTAATAATTTCATACGTTTTTAATAAATGTAAATAAGTTTGTTTTAAACAAACAAAAACAAAGCATTTTATGACTTGGCAAAAAAATTGTTTACAGTAGTTAGAAGAAAGATGTCAAACTTGCCATCACTCTGCTGTTGTATTAGAAACACTCAACTAGTGTTCTGAAATTTAATGCCAAAGTATAGCCTTAGAAGTGTGCATTGGATTTTTTTATATATAAAAAAACAAACAAAAAAAACACACATACATATATATATATATATATATATATATATATGATAACATATATTTGCTAGATTTACAATGTTAATAAGTGTGGAAACGTCATCACAATTTGTGAATAGGGTCCTTTGGCGGTATTTACACAACTCCCATTAATATAAGCAGAATATATACTGTAAAATCGCAATGAAAGTTTATGTTTACATACTATATGTTTGTTTATGATGTATATTTATTATGTATATATAAATTAGGGGTGGAACAGTTCGCAGAAAAAAAAAAAATCGAACCGTACGGTTCTCCACACACGGTTCGGCACGCACTAGGACCGCGGTTCAACTTAAATCTGACAACGCATCTGTAATATGGTTTGCTATAAATAACACGTAAAACAAACAGGGTTCGGCTAATGTATGTTTCTGTTGATGGATGCGCATTCTGGCTTCCTAATACATTACAATAACAGCGATGAAAAAAAAAAAAAAAGTGGACAAACCATTCACTCTTGTTCAATGCGAATGCCGTATGCTGGAATATGAGCAGTCATTTATTCCATCATCACCCGGGTGCTGATAGCACGCACACACAGGTGAGACCTGAACAGCACACGTTGATATCTGTTTAAACTAAACTCATTTAAGCTTAGCCAGTTTAAACATTTAAGAGCCAGAGGACGTGAGCTCGCGTGCGCAGTGAGAAGATTTGTGCGTGAGCTCATGTTGATGGATGCGCATTCTGGCTTCCTAATAAATTAAAAAAACAGCGATGAAAAAAAAAAAAAAAAGTGGACAAACCATTCACTCTTGTTCAATGCGAATGCCGTATGCTGGAATATGAGCAGTCATTTATTCCATCATCACCCGGGTGCTGATAGCACGCACACACAGGTGAGACCTGAACAGCACACGTTGATATCTGTTTAAACTAAACTCATTTAAGCTTAGCCAGTTTAAACATTTAAGAGCCAGAGGACGTGAGCTCGCGTGCGCAGTGAGAAGATTTGTGCGTGAGCTCATCTGGAGCGCAAGCCCGCGCCTCAGAACGAGCGCAAATATTAAGCTCTCTCTGAAGTATTGTGTTTAAATGGACAAATTCACACAAAAATTGTGTCAAAATGCCCATCTTGGTAAGTATCCTATAGCGGACATAGCCGGCTGAACGTACTGGATCAGTGCATTCTCTTAAAGTGACAGCACTTTCTTAATATTAATCAAACAGCAACAACAAAGAAATCACTCACTGCTCTTGATTGAATAGCTTTTGTAACTTTAATAAAGATTCATCTTTAATTTATACGGTCAAATATGCAATGTTGTTTTACATTTCATTACTTTATTCAATTTCTTTTCCTAAAACTGTTAGACTTACCTAAAAAAAACCCTGAAAATCATTGTTTATTTTATTTGTATCTTTACTCTATTGTATTTATTTGTGCTGTTGCTTGTAGTTAGATAGATTATTCTTATTTTCTTTTATTTGACAGTATAGTTTTTGCCTAAACATAGCACATACCGAACCGTACCGAAACCGCAACTCTAAAACCGTGATACAAACCGAACCGTGAGTAAGTTGAACCGTTCCACCCCTGATAAGCGGTTAAGTTTAAGGTGTGAAGAAAAAAAAAAAAACTTTGAGGACAAAAAACTGTGAAAATTGACCAACATAAAACTATAAAACACTGACTGAAATTCACTCTTTTTGCATCATGGTAAAGGGATAGTTCACACAAAAAAGACAATTCTGTCATGATTTAATCACGCTCACGTCATTCCAAACCTCAGCGGGCACCATGCAACAGGGAGGAAACTTTCCTTAGTATGAGAAATATCCATTAGCTTGAACATACTCCCACAGATCACGGTCTAGCTCAATAAAAAAAAAGAAGAGGTAACAGCAAAGTCTGCCTTTGATAACTGAAATGTAAAAAAAATAAAAGAAATTAACAACAGATTAGAAAAAAAATCAGGTCCAGGAATAGCTTCTGGAAAGGAAAAAGCCTGGAAAAGCACTGGTAACAGGGATCTAGGCTACATCGTTATTTCACACACTCACATACAATTGAATGTACGGCTCATTGTGGCAAGAACCACACAGACACACACACACATATAGAGTGAAGGTCAAGTGGAAACAGGCAGAGGGTTTTTCAATCAGCAAGCTGCTAAACACAATTGCAGATGTGAAAAAGATAAATATAAAAACACAAAACTGGCAGTGATCACGTTGTGCTTACCAAAGTACTCAGCCTTTGGCTGGGCGTCCATCTCCTTTTCCAGGCGTTCAGTTAGAGCTTCTAATTTTATTTCAGCCGCAGTCGGCCCCTGATCTGTCTGTACATGGAGGGTCTGGCATGGCAGCTTGAGCGCCCGAGAAGGGCTGGAAGACTCATCATGGGGCGACTCAACAGAAAAAAAAAAAAAACTTTATAAAGAGGACAAAAAACTGTGAAAATTGACCAACATAAAACTATAAAGACACTGACTGAAATTCACTCTTTTTGCATCATGGTAAAGGGATAGTTCACACAAAAAAGACAATTCTGTCATGATTTAATCACGCTCACGTCATTCCAAACCTCAGCGGGCACCATGCAACAGGGAGGAAACTTTCCTTAGTGTGAGAAATATCCATTAGCTTGAACATACTCCCACAGATCACGGTCTAGCTCAATAAAAAAAAAGAAGAGGTAACAGCAAAGTCTGCCTTTGATAACTGAAATGTAATGAAATAAAAGAAATTAACAACAGATTAGAAAAAAATCAGGTCCAGGAATAGCTTCTGGAAAGGAAAAAGCCTGGAAAAGCACTGGTAACAGGGATCTAGGCTACATCGTTATTTCACACGCTCACATACAATTGAATGTACGGCTCATTGTGGCAAGAACCCCACAGACACACACACATATAGAGTGAAGGTCAAGTGGAAACAGGCAGAGGGTTTTTCAATCAGCAAGCTGCTAAACACAATTGCAGATGTGAAAAAGATAAATATAAAAACATGATTAAAGTAGTCTACACTGAAGATAATTTGCTCACCACAAGACGTGGAAATAATCCAGCATTTCATTTGATATATTATAGTGAATTTTACATCTAACGGTTAATTTGAGATGGTTACTTGGGGAGTCAACTTGGTCTGTTGAACTGGAGCAAAACTCCAGTGTTATCATAAAAAAAAACGAGCCTGATTCAGCCTGGGCTATGAATGAATGGATATATAACAAAAATGCATAGGCTATATGAAAGGTTTTCATTTAATTAGTGAATTTACTGTTTAGTCCCTAAAATTAATGTTTCATAATTTTTCAATGCTTCAAAAATGGCAAAAAGCACCATAAAAGTCAACCCGATCTCATGGAAGTGCGTATAAATAGCACGCCAAATAAAAATTAAAACTCGTGGTATTGATACGCAAAAATGGACTTTGGCGTGCATATGCTACGCGATGGGTAGGATTAGGGTTGTGGGGTAGATGCGTATCATATGCACGCCAACACGATATTGTTTTCTTTTGTATTTAGAGAAAATTTTATGGTAGTAATTGATATTTATGCAATAATTATGATACATTTTTCCCATTGAAAATATTACATTTTTTTAAATATATTTTTTACAATTAGTTTTCAATTAATGCAGTATTTCAGATTAAAAGAGAGACTAGATTTGTAAAGGGAGATAGCACATCCTGGTGAGAGCAAAAAAGAAAAAGAAAAACCTGTAACCACTAGATTCCTGTATAGGACTCTATAGAGAGGCTTGTGAATTCCCTAGTTGTTTTTATACATCATTGTTTACTTTTATTAGGTTGTGGATTTAAATGAATATTAAGGCATTCTCAAAGACTACTTTTTGTCAAGGTTTATATTTTTTGTTGTGTTAAATGTTGATTTGAAGTGTAGGTTTTTGCATTATTATTACTACATTTAAACCTGAACACAGAAAGCTTTTTTTTTTTACACAAAACATTAAAATTCTATAAAAATGTAACAAAAATTAACAGGAATGCTTTATCAGAGCTTAATCCTTCTGGGTCTGATCTGATTTTAACCTCTTAGTTCAGTCTTCTGACTCATTTTGGCTATATGGTTATAGCCATACCAATTCATTTGAGTATGTATAATTCTGTATGTGTGTGTATGTGAGTGTGTGTAAGTAAGTGTGTGTGAGTGAGTGGATGTATCTGTTTTACACTCTTGATGTTTTAGAGCGTAACCCCTTCCTACACTTTTTTTACTGCATTGTAGTTTAATTATTGATTTTATTTTACATAGTTGCAGTGTTAAAGTCACACCAGTTCATAGGTGTGTGTGTGCGTATGTGAGTTGGTATGTTGATTTTGCACTCTAGATGTTTTAGAGTTTCACCCCTTCATTGCTGTGCAATTTTTGCATTGTGGGGGGTTTGTAGATTGTACACACAAAAATGTTCTGTATTTTCTTGTATTCCCCCCCCCCCCCATTTCCCATTCATTAACTACGGTCTGTCTTTTTTGACCGAAGACCATGTGTGACTATTTTTTTTTTTACGACCACTTAGCTTCTTCTAATCATGCCCTCAAATTTTTTTTCTGTTCACATACCAAGTGCCACAAAAGTCACCAAGTTTCGTACCATTCTGGTGAAGCTACGATTTAAAAAAATTCAAAATGTAAAATTCTCCGGTCAGAAGTGACCGAAGACCGCACAAGGTTAAAACTACTTCTTCATTTTATGACTTTTCATTAACTGCTGTGACAGTGATTTTTAGTCAGTTTACCTTCATGTTTACACAAGTGTTGTTCGTCACATATGAACGTGTTTCAATTTTTCACACCTCTCTTCACTTTGAGACTTGTTTTATCAACGCAGCTTTTTAAAAAAAAAGTTTTTTCTTGAACAGTGTTCTCTTGCTATCTTTCTTGAAACAAAATTCCAATTGGTCAGATATTTTGTATCTGCAACAACATTCAGACATTCGTAAGTGTCACCAAATGTGTCCAAATACTTTTTGGGGCCACTGTAGAGCTGCTGACAGTGGTTATGCATTATTGTAGACCAGAATTGACAAACAGTTGGCTCTAACCGTCTGAGAGCTGTTATGGTGTGAGTATAAATTTGAGTGAAAAGTTGATTTTAAAAATCTATGTGAAGTTTAGAATTTCCTGATTATCATGTTTTCCATCATGCAAAACATATTTTGTGCTTCAATCAAAGCAAAAAAATCTGAAAATTTGCATGATCAGTTATAATACTTTATTATTTAATAACATACAAATACTGCAGAATGTTAAATATTTTACATATTTGACATAAAAGTATGTGCTTAAAGGTGTTATTTATAAGTTTAATTTAGTTTTTGAATCCCTGATTGTCAATAGTACATGTTCTTAGGACTCCTTCACTTTGGGTGATTTTGGTTTGCCTGTTTTATCGCTTGCCAAGTAATAATCAATCATCTGGTTCTTTAGAAAAATAATAACACACCTCCCTTTAACAAGTCACACGATTTGAAGAAACTGTACGAAGAGTTGTGCCAAAGTTGAATACTTAGGTATAAGGATTTGTTCAGATTCTTGGTAACCAAACGTTTTGGTTACAACTGACTTCCATTGTGAGACGTTTCTCTAAATATCTTGTTTCATATTTCCACAGAACAAAGAAAGTCTTACAGGTTTGGAATGACATGAGGGTGAGTAAATGACAGCATTTTCATTTTTGGGTGAACTATCTCTTTAACCTTAAGTATTCAGATAGTAATAGTGCTGCTTGCTTTAGCAAACACAACTAATAAATGAAACTAGATCACTAATGTGAATGCAGTAACACAATACGAAAAGACACAACACACAGGAAATGAATACTCTAAAAATATCAAGTCATCTGGGACAAAAAAAAAATCCCTTCCTCTTTTTAAAGACTTCTGGGAAATTATTCTACAATGTTTTATTAGTGAGTCACTTATATAAGGTCATAAGGGACAGCAGAGGGGATCGATTTCAGGCTGAATTATGTGTGGTTACTGAGTAACAGGGCAAAAAATGTTTCCAAACAGAGGTACTGTCAGCGACTGTCCCAGGACGTCAATACCCTAAAGGCATAACACTTCATTTGTCATGAAAGGCTTCCTTTATGCCCATTCTCAACTTATTGTTCACTCAAGTACTGAGAAACATACTCTCTGATGCATTTGGAGAAGGTCAGACACTCAACACATAAAGCAACACAGTCCAACTCCATTCAGCGAGGCGCTAACTCGAGCGCGGTGTCGGTGTGCGTTGTGTCATTGGGTTGGGCTGCAGACTGAGAAAATGGGGCCAAATTACTCCGGTGTTGAAATGTGATGACTCAAGTCTCTCCGTTCTCATTTCCAAAGGGAATGATGGGCATTCCTAAAGCTGTCTAACAGTAATCCTTTAAAAGAGGGATCTATTCGTTACCTTCAGATAATTGTTCTATGGTTTCACTAAAAATGAAAATATGGTTTCAGATGTCAGGCTCATTAACTTAAAATTAAAAGGATAGTTCACCCAAAATGTATGATTCCATTTTATTGCTATAGATTATTTTGAACATACATTTTTGATCATATCTATTATGTATGGAAACCCATTTCTGCCACTGAATAAAAAATAAAACAAGGTAATTGTGATCTTTTTACCTCACAATTCTTACTTTTTTTTTCACTAAAAATGGAAATATGGTTTCAGATGTCAGGCTCATTAACTTAAAATTAAAAGGATAGTTCACCCAAAATGTATGATTCCATTTTATTGCTATAGATTATTTTGAACATGCATTTTTGATCATATCTATTATGTATGGAAACCCATTTCTGCCACTGAATAAAAAATAAAACAAGGTAATTGTGATCTTTTTACCTCACAATTCTTACTTTTTTTTTTCTCAGAATTGCGAGTTCATATCTTGCAATACCTTATATTTGACTTTATAACACGCAATTGCGAGTTATAAAGTAAGAATTGCGGGGGGGTTTTCTCGCAACTGCGATCTCGAAATTCTGACTTTCTTTTTTTCTCACAATTGCGAGTTCATATCTTACAATTACGACTTTTTTTCCCCAGAAATTGCGAGTTATAAAGTAAAAACTGCGAGTTATAAAGTCAGAATAGCGAGATATAAACTCGCAATTATGACCTTTTTTCTCTCCGAATTGCGAATTTAGCTATATCACGCAATTCTGACTTTCTTTTTTTCTCAAAATTGTGTGTTCGTATCTCACAATTATGACTTTTTTTCTCAGAATTGCGATTTATAAAGTATATAAACTCCCAATTCCGAGAAAAAAAGAAAGTCAGAATTGCGTGACTTTATAACTCAGAGTTTTGACTTTATAACTCGCTATTGCGTGTCACACAATTCTGAAAAGTCACAATTCTGAAAAGTCACAATTCTGAAAAGTCAGAATTCTGAAAAGTCACAATTCTGAAAAGTCACAATTGTGAGATAAAAAGTCGCAATTACCTTGTTTTATTTTTTAGTTAGTGGCGGAAACGGGCTTCCATAATTATGCCTATTGTGTACACTTAAAAAAAACGGATTAGGCCTACTTTGAAACTCTTTTCACTCAGAAATTGCTAGAAAATAATACTTACAAATACTTAGAAACATCAAGAAAATTTTTTTAAGTAGAAAGACTGAAATGGCATTTTCTTTGGAAACATACTCTTATAATCTTTCTTTTATGTAGAGAAAAATAATTTTTACAGTGTACTTATATTATTTATCTAGTATTACTATGAAAAAATTAAAATTCTGTTATCATTTATTTACTCACACCTGTTTTTGTTACCAGTTTTGGTCACCATTGACCATCATACAGACAAAAAACACTAAGACTTTTAAACAAATTCAGATCTGCCTCCATCCAATCAACAACCGATGCACAGAATTTTTTTTTGTTGATAAACCGCTTCAGTCACATGCAAGTCGCAATTTGGGCAAAAAAAATCTGACCCGACTTCAGTTAGCGACTTTAATGTGCATTATATGAAATGGCTTGAAAAACACTATTTATGATGCCATTTTATTTCTGCTTTGCATTTGCATTTATTCATTTAGCAGATGCTTTTATCCAAAGATCCACTCCAAACTTTACTTGCTTGTTTATTATCAAAGCATAAACTGGTAAAAGCGCATTGATGCATAGAAATGTGTATATGTGTAAATAAGTATGTTGGAAGTCATTCTTATTGGTTCATACATAGATGCACAGAGTTGCAACAGAGTCAACAATTTCTCAAATTTTGTTTTAGTGTAAATTGTTATTGTTTTCTACCTCACCCTAAAAAAAAATTCTCAGTGTACTTGTGATGCAGCGTCCCCACTGAAATCATTTGCTTGACAGTGTTTGACATTGTGTGATCTTCAGTGTGTACGTGCTCTCCCTTACCAAAAAGTAGTATACTTCAAGTTTATTTTATTAAGTATACTTTATGTAGCAAGTATACAAATATCAGTGTACGAGTAGTATACTTGTAAGTGTACTATTTCAATACTCCTTGGGACTAAATTGGCCCACTTTCTAGTATATAAAAGTATACTTTTAAGTATGCTTTAAGTATAACAGTAGTAAACTAAGTACACAACTAGTTTACAACAATATTTTTTAGCTTGTACTGCAGCTATACTAAAAGTGAACTACTTTTACTTTTTCTAGAATGAAATACTTGTAGTAGCATTTTTAGTACACTTTGAAGTATAGTCTTAGTAAACTACTAGTTTAGTAGTTTTATACTGCAAGTATACTCATAAGCTTTCTTTAAGTGAACTTTACATTCATACTTTAAGTATACTACTATGTCCCTATTTAGGTATTAATTTGTATATATTTTGTTACATGAATATCTGAACATACAAAACATCAAAAGAACAGGGTATCTGCTTGTAAACAAAAACATTTTATTCTAGCTTCATGCATTCTTTTTTTAAACACTTGAATGTGGGTAAGTTTCATAATTAAAAAATAAAGAAATAACATTTTGAACAAAAAGCTGACAAAAGACTATGAATTGGATTCAGAATGATAATCAAAACGTAGATAGAGTCGATCAACACCCCAAAGCTTGACAGTCATTATTACCTCTTCATTGGTCGACATTACATCAACTTTACACAGTTTTGATGCTGTTTTATGTCTGATGATCGTGTTAGAATACACGTGGAAGCATCAGTTGTTTCGGTTTCTTCTTCACTTGTGTTTTTTGGAAATTCTGCACAGAAGATGTGTACTAGTGCCCCTACAGTATAACAATGAAAACACGGATTTTAGGAACACAAGTATAGCTCAAATATATTTATACTTTTTCTAAGTATAAGTCAAGTATACTTAAATGTCATTTTAAGTATATTTCTGAGAAGTACATAAAGCCCATTTCTGAGAAGTACATAAAAAGTAGACAAAGTATACTTTACTATTTTTTAGTTTAAAAGAAGTATACTATAATAGCACACTTGAATAAACTTCTTTTTCGTAAAGGGCTAACACCACAGCTAGGATGTTAAAAAACTAAAGACTCCGTACAGGACAGTGAGTCAGCTACAGTAAATGAGTGTTTGATGAGACGCTGGTTATGAGACCCAGCAGGAATCCCACTGTTGTCTGAAAGCACAGCATGACCTCCACATCTCCATTTCAGGCAGAGCAGGTCTGTCAGAGCAGAGGTGTTGTAATGTCAGGCTAAAACTGGGCGTTCAGAAATAGCTCGCTACAAAACACTAATACCGCCAGACCTGGAGTCTGAGGTGACGAGGGCTGAGAGGTGGGGCTGGGTACAAAAATGGCTCTGTGGATATCAGAGTCTTTTCACGTACGGTCCTTTCTGAAATCAGAACTCCTGTAAGGCACATCATGTCATTCGTCCCCCAGGAAGTAGATGAGGGCCGTTCTGGGCGAGAGGATGGCCTTCTTAATGACACGCTCGGAGAGCAGATGGGCACCCAGAGGGCTGTTCAGCACCAGTTCCTGAACCTTCTGTGCGTCCTGAGCCACTTCACGAGGTACAGATACACTCCCACATGCCTTATTATTGATCTGAGGACAAAAAAAGAACACTGATGACATCTGAAAGGTTAGAAACTGAAGATAATCAATTAAACAAGTGGTTTTACATTTTGTTATTTTGAACCAAAAACAGGCAAAAGTCTGACTGATGCAAAACAATGACAAACTAAATTTTGACATTTTATGGAACCTGTTTGTTCTCTAGATTCGAGTTCTTCACCATGTCTGTATTGTGGTCTCCAGATGTTTTTTTGCTTGCTTATTTTTTTATAAAAAAACATTTCCCCCCAAAATCTAGGCTCAATCTATTTTCTAAACTCTCAAGGCTTTGCAAAAGTGACACCCTGTCACTGCAACTGAAAGTTGAGAAAAGTGCTTTCAGAAATCAATATGCTTTATTCCTGCCTGGTTTAAAACTGACATTGCTCTTTCCACATCCTCAAAATGCATATTCATCAAATGCTCTGTCAGAGCTTTCTCTAGTGTGTAAGCATCTTTGCACATATAAGTTTAATACTTTATGCTGGAGGACAAAATATGGGTAAAATTGTTTTCCTCTTGATCAGCAATAGTTTTAGTTTTTTTAAACGGACATACTGTGTGTTAAAGTGCTTATGCCATATCCTGGGATGACTAAACAAAACCTTTAAGGGTGGATACCTTGGTTCTGCATCTGCTGTTAGCTTTGTGTGTGGGTTTGTGTGAAACTAAAGCTGATGCATCTGCTCCTCAGTGTGTCTGTGGTGAAATGAAATGCACCCAGACAGCTGGACTGCATCATGGGAGAAAATCATCCCTGTTATTATGACTCCCAAAGTAGTTCAGCCACCCGCACAAAGCAGGGGATTCCCTAAAATACTAGCAGGCTGGTGCCAGCCTGAGGCCTGGCAGAGAGCAGGCGCAGCAAAGCCTTCTGGGTTGTACTATTTCAACCGAGTATGCAGTAACATCTCCATTTGGAGATTAATTTTCTGATTTTATTAATCTTTGTAACTGTTATGGTAGCTACGTCTTTATCTCATGTTGCCAGATGTGTACTTTGTCTGTCAAAAAAAGTGGGTGAATACAAAAAACATGAAAATTTAACATTTTTCTTTTTCTTAATTTGATTTACAGTAGTTGAGCTAGTTTGACATCAACTGCATTCAGGTGAGTTTTGGTAACCAATATCTGGCAACAGTAGATTGTTGCGCATTGTTCTGCTTGGTTGAGATTTCAGAAATTGTGAAAAGAAAATTCAGACGTCGTCTGAATGCAGAACCAGCCAATGAGAACATATGTGACCCTGGAGCACAAAACCAGTCTTAAGTCTTAACCTTTCCTGAGGATGGTACTCCCCTAGTTACGCTTGGAGACTTCAACATCCACCTAGATAAACCTCAGGCTGCAGACATCCACACTCTGCTTGCCTCTTTTGATCTCAAGCGAGTGTTAACTACGGCTCACAAATCAGGCAACCAACTGGACCTTATTTACACACGACACTGCTCCACTGATCATGAGCTGGATACTCCACTACACACCTCGGATCACTTCCTCCTCACTCTTAACCTCAAATATGCATTTTTATTAATACGCAATTTAGATTTTTAGACCCCTTAACCTACCCATATAGCGAATATAAAAGGATATAAAACGCAAATGACTGAAATACGCAGGAAAATAACCATTTTAGTAACAATATAGCATTAAAATATTTTTATAGTCGCTAATTCCACTCCTACCTATAAACCTAAACATTTCTGTACAGTATAAGAAAAACATGACAGACGGATAAATGCAATTACAATCATTTATTTATTGCAAAAATGTCAAAAGCAGTAACAAAAGTAATCTAAATTACGATGCGTTGCACCCGCAGTCCTCTCTGGTGGAATACAGTAGGTTTGTGTGATCGGGCTTTGCTGCTCACGGTCACTGGACTTGCTGCTCGGGATGGAGAAGAAGATCACCGAATAAAGGCTTGGATTTTGGTCTGTTCCTCACAGTCCTATGGATTCGGACTTACAGCACACGAATAAAATTGTTTCATTTCGTAATTATGTTGCGTTTTTGGTGTATTTTATAGTTCTATTGTCAGTCACAGTATGTCGGAGAAAACGCCTTTTGTGGCCCATGACAATCAAAGTAAACATTACATGACAAGTAAAGGTTAAACGATTGCAGAAATGTTATTTATTTTAAGGTTTAAAGTGAAGTCATGTTTA